AGACTTTGGAACACAAAAACGTTCCTTCTAATTGAGGTAGAATGTTCAAACTTGGCGTAGGTGTCTATTAGGTGAATGTTTAAACTTGATGTTGATGTTTATTAGGCGAATGCCTTGACGGAGTTCAATAATTAACATTTCGCGCTAAAACTAAGCAGAGCTAATCGATTTCATTTGTCGATGGTTTGGGACAAGATAATCTTGATTCTATCTTATAGAGAGTGATGAAACTTAATTAATATGTGTCATCTATTTATTTTGCCATTTCGGCGGGGGGCATCAGCCTCACTGTTGACTTGTTTCAATGGAAATTGGTTAAAGAAAATACTAAAAAATTAATTGAAAAAAGAGGGGGTAAATGTCATGAATTATTAGGTAAATAAAGAAGTACAACACCATGAAATGTGTATGAATTGACGAAATAATATGATAGTAATTACCAACATAGTTTTCCCAAGGTCTTGGAAATAATTACATATGACATGAAATGAAATGAGGTTGAGCGTCCATGCAGTGTGAGGGAAATACTCTTATTTCGAATTCCAACTGTGCATGGGACCTCGGCTTTTCGTATTATCCGAACGGCTAAACACTGTCCTTGTAAGGCATTCCGCCCTGCACCAGGGAATGTTCTCAGCCAATACTTAGATCGAAACCCGGACCACCTGATTAGAGAGCCAGCGCCTTACACACTGAGCCAAATTTTATTCCAAGGACATTTTACTAAAAGTGATTTGTAAAAACAAATGTCAACTAATTCTTGAAAAATCTTTCTCTTTTCTCTTTCGAAAATTCAGAGAAGACATTAATATTTTATATATTCACAGGATTGAATATAATTTATTTGATTTAGAACAAATATTTAGAATTGCCATGTTGCACTGGTAATTTATCTGAATTAGTAGCCATGTGTTGTATATGAAATAATAACAATGTTGATGTCAACAAATAATACAAAACTGGTTAAACACATTCCAAATACAATTTTAACACAGAGATTTTGCTGGGCGGAATGTCACACAACTATGAATATCGATATGGTTCGTCCTCTCAATGACCACAATTCGAAAAACATTTTATTAGAAACTGTAGCATTTATCATGTTCACAATGTTTTCGAAATGAGAGAAAGCTGATAATGATTGATTATGATAGTGGCAAGGCAGCGAAAGCGTCGAGCCTTGCAGTTGCGTACCTATACAGGTTTTTTTTGGTTTATTTATTTATTTTGCAGTTTCTATATCTTTGATATGTGTAAAACCAGAAACTGCGTGATACCAGCAATTTTCAGAATATGCAAAATATTAAGTCCGCCATTACCAGAATTCAGCTTATTGACTACAGCTAGGTGAATATGCATGATGTATGTGCCTGTGTTTCTATGATATGTGAACGCAATACGATATGGTCACATCACTCACAGGTTCTGAATATATAAATTAGGTGACACCATCACACAATTTCTTATTTTGGGGGTCAATATCTTACATAGCACAGGGGATAATGGTTCCGAATAACTGTCTATATACGTAATCAGAGTTTATCCATCTATTAAATGTATTTCTGATATGATTATCAGCAAAAGATATGCACATTACATAAATGAAATGAAATTAAATGGGGTTTAACGTCCTGCTGTTCTGCTCTGACTCGGCTAATGAAGATGGGCATACGCCATACAGTGTGTTATGGGGGAAATTGTGTCCTGACAGCGGCACTACGACTCTTATATCGAATTCCAACTGCCAAGGTATCTTTTACGTGCACTCCGATGCGTACATGGAACCGCGGTTTTTCGTCCCACCCGAACGACTATACGTTGTCCTTTGGCAGGCCCCCTGTCTTGCACCACTGACAAGGGGGAACCACATACGAGAATCCCGATGAACTTTCTCGGTCAACGCAGGGATCGAACACGGGACCGTCAGGTTAGTGAGCCAACGTCCTACCCGCTTAGCCACCGTGGCCTACTATTACATACATCTCGCCAGGCTTTTACAATATATCCTCGCATCATGCTACTAGATAAACCCATAGTTGGTGTATATAAAATACCAACGGGGTCAATTTAAGTCTTGAATTTTAATTTGAATTGTCCAAATATGCAAACTGTACTGAATACATCTTTCAACAGTACTGTAAATGGGCCACTTTTAATCTTCCTTGTTATATTCAGTATCAGCAAGCTTCTTTGTGTATTTATTATTGGAGTCGACGAAACCCCAACATGCATGACAAGTGGCTACTACATGTATATACAGCATCTGCACTGTTGGTTTCCACAAGGTTAGTCAGATTAACAGTAGCGTCTTTTCTACGTGGGGACTTCACCGTGAGCAAGGGTAATGTGAGGGGGTAGGTTCACGTATCCACCAATAATCTATAGCAACCCATGCAGGTGGATCAGGTCAAAAGCGGGATTTCCAAAGAATTTGAGCACGTACGACATTTTTCTCAAAAGCCCCAGACGTTGGCAGAAGGTACTTCGGTTTACCCAACTCGTATTTTTGAAATACGTTTTTTTTTCTATGAAGCTAACAGCCATACTAGCTTCATTACTGCATGATATCACTTCCAGTCTCATAGATTCGAGTGGATTCATGGCGCCGAAATACAAAAGTCGAAAACGTAAATACGGATTGTCGTTTGGGATGAACACTTAACTGTGATGCAATATGGTCAAAACACATTTCGAATATATATCAGAAAGCTTGTGGTCGCTTAAATATTTTGTGTATATTGAAATAAAACCATATTTCATTCAAATAAAATATATTATCTTGCTTTTATTCGCCCGATTTTAGAATATGCTGATATATGAGATAATTGTTCAGTGAAAGATTCTGATCTGTTCGAAAGTATTGACACTTAAGCAGGTATAATAATAACTGGCCTTAGAAGAAATTAATGTAAAACAAACATATTCAAAGAGCTTGGGTTGGAAACACTGATATAATCGCAGAACAAAACACAAATTAATTTGCTTGTATGAAATAAAGAATAATCTAAGGCCTCCTTTAAAGAATTTAAACTGCTAGTATAATCTGCGTAATGTAAACCAAACCTGTATTTAAATAGCTTCTTTCCATGTACCAATAGACTTTGGAAAAAATTACCGGAAGATATGAAAACCTCACCATTAAGTGCATTTAAATCATGACCTTGACGAGTATAATCCTTTAATTAAACCGCCATAATATTATAATACTGGCAGTAGGAAAGAGAAAAGTAGTTAGCCATTCTTGCTATAACAGTTCAAAAATAGACGATGAAAGAAGAATATATTGAAAATTTCAGTCCAATTACTTTATTCTGAACATAGTTATCACCAGTGTAATTTTTGACTAGAAATGGGATTGAATTCCATCTTCACCGATTCTTAGTATGGCCGATCGTTTGATTGACAGGCGTTAACTCCACCTACATAATCTCTGCTGTCTTTTTTCTGCTATCATCATATCCGAATTTGTGTTTTACCTTTTTGGATTTTTATAACAATTGGACAAAATGAGTGAGAGGGTAAATTTTCATTCTTACTTGTATTTTGGGCATGCATTAAATCAATTGAATATAGGACATAATATTATAATACAATTATGATAAATCTATAGGTAAACACCAGTGGCGTCGTGCCTATTGGGGAAATAAAAATATTTTTATTGATATTATTAAGACAGAAGACCTGTCCGTCTGTATTAGTCATCACACGGTCACCAGGAATTGTATAATTTGTCATTATCTGTGTTTAGTTTATTGCACTTTAAATAGTTTAGATGTCATTTGTTAAGGCATCGCTCAACAGCGGCCTCGCTTCGTACACACTATCATTTAGCCTCGATCCGGGAGTATGACGTCAACGTAACGGTTAATCTCCGCTCACGACGCCATATAAAATTAAATCAGTCAACGAAATCCCGTTTAAATCCAAGCTGAATCCAAGCCATCCGTGGGTCTACAGAGTTGATTTTGTGCTTTTTGTGTAAATAAAGATCTAATTTATAATTTATATGACATCTGAAGCCTAAATAAAGACTTGCAATAATCAGATTTAGTTCTTGCATAATGTATGTTTAATGAAAACGTGTTAAATCTTTTAGTGACATTTAGTAGCCTAACTGGATAGAGTAAAAAAACTAAATGGGAAACAGCTACTAATATTATTTAGGTGACGTTAACGGTCACTCCACTGGCTTCCAGTGCAAGCAAGAATCGACTTTAAATTGATGTCTCTCACATATCAATGCATATAGGCCTAATGTGAAATGCCATCTTATCTGAAAGAACTGGTGGTACCTTACATGCCATCGAAAAATCTAAGATCAGGTAATAAAAACAACCTTTGTCGTCCCAAAATTAAGCTAAGCCCCTTGGAGCTCGCTCATTTAGTGTTGTTGCTGCCAATATGTGATACTCGCTACCTGAAAATCTTCGATCCAGTCCATCATTAGAATCCTTTAAATCCAGATTGAAAACATACTTTTTTGAAAAATATTTGCAAGAGTGATTGTGTGGGGTTTTTTTTGGAGCGCTATGAGCACGACTATATGTGGAATTAGCGCGATATAAATGGACTTATTATTATTATTATTATCAAGCTAAGCGTGTTCCTGTGCAATTAATTGGTGTTAATACGACTTTATTTTACAGATTTAGAATTTCTAGCACTTCGAAAAAATAATAATGATAAAAAAATGTGGGTATTTTCGATATACTGGTTGACTCGTCAACTCGGACGCTACAAGGGACGAAACCGCTATTTACTATTTTCAGTGCTTATAAATATAAGACACTCGAAGTGTATATGACAAAAATGCATCGATTAATATTGATTCCGAGGATATGTTATATTTTACAAACCCTTGTATGAATGACACTAAAAAAGCATTGTGTGTCCTGGTAGTGTTATTATCATCAGAAAGTTTGTAGAAATATGACAATATCTACTCGACCCGTAATTCATTTTCAGGTCATTTACAGCGATCTTGTTTCGCGCATGCGTAAATTTACCCTGGGAACCTGAGATGTGTTATAAACTAGGTCATATATCTCGCGTCAGCTGATTGTAAGGAATGTTGACGAGAGAAGTGAGATACGAAGGTAGTTCTTGTGAGTATACATTTTCTAATTATAATGTATTTCAGTTACACGTTGGCGTACTCCAGTCTGTCAAGTGATAATAAAGGATTATGCATTAATAACAGTATCATATGATTCAGTGCTGAGTGTAAAAGAATAATAGCTTTCGCTTCTCTGACCTCTGACATCGTCCAAACACAATAACCATATAACAAAAGGAACGAAACCCCTTCCCTTTACTAACCCCGACTACACCTCACCCAACCTCCTTGACATCTAAAATTAAAATACCCTAAGAAGAGATAAGGGTAGAACTAGGGTGGTGAACTTTATGTATATTACGCATATAGTATTAACTGATACTTCTTACATACGCAGATAGTGTGTAGCTGTATATATAATATATAGGATCTGAACTGTACATTCAACCATGGACCTTGAGGTCCATGATTCAACTGAGCAGAAAACTACTAAACAAGTAATATGAAATTATGATCCACGCACCATTGCAAACTTGAACTACGAAGGGTGCCTTGATATGTGCCTTAAATAGAATGATTGTTTATTATTATTGAAGCGATTGTACGATTTGGTTTAGCAGGCTTTATATGTACATGTAATTCATCTAGACTGAAAACACATTTCTTTGTCCTATTTCTATAACTTATACACTGTGACATAAGAGGCGTGTAAGGCTACTGGTGGTTTTCTATTGATATGATTTAATCTGTAATTAGTCATTTCAGTGATCATGGAAGTAGATAGAGGTTAATAACCTGTGCATAGCAACCGCTGTCAAATACACGTGTTTCTCAATTTATTTTCAATCAAGACAATCGATCGTACGCTGTGTATATCTAAGCTAGCTTATGACTAATATACTAATGACCTCCCGTCAATATATGAAATACGTGTACTTAGAACAAAATCTTTATTGTTTAACGACGTTACGATCAGGATTCCCGTGTTTTCGGGATTGAAAAAGTCTGGATAATCCTTGTTGAAACTCAATTATAAACAATAATTACTTTCCATACATGTGTGTCCTGTGTATTTTTATGATATTCAAACAAAACATTATCTCTGGCATCTAGGAAAAAAACCACCAAAAAACAAACACCAAATAAAGCGTGATTTGTGTTGAAGGGATGATGATAAGGCCTTAATTATTTGTTCGGCTGGGGGGGAGGGGTGTCCGAATGGTTAGCGCGTGCGCGTTAATGCGTTGTATCATAAGGCCTGTCAATGAGTCAACTGGCGTGGTTTCGGTTCCCCCGTCCATCCTCGTGGGTTTTCTCTAGGTTTCCTGCCACTGCTAAAGACCCCTACGCGCATATGTTAGTCCCGAAATTAAAGGGCTAATGTAGTTATAAAAAGTCGCATATCAGACGTCAGTATTTCTACAAATGTGCGCACCATATCTGAAAATAAATATGGTCGCCTCAGTAATTAATTTCAACAAAAGAGAAAGGCCACCCCATTCCTGTCGGTCTTCTTACCATCAAAAGTAAGATTATCTTGCGTCATTGTATCACATTGTCAATTGTATCACATTATCACATTCTAGCAGTGGTTTCAACTATTAAAACACAAAAACAAATTCATATCTTCAATTGAACTACAGTTTATCTATTTTTTGGCATTCATTCAGTCATTGTGAATTCAATTATTCTAATAAACATGCAGTTTATCAATGAGATGCGACCTTGACTATTATAGATAGACTTGATATTTGACAGATAGACTTGGTATCCGACAGATATGTTTTCTCCGAGGAGTCATTTCATAAGGGAGTGCGCAAAACAAGGTCTTATCATCGATTCAACTGACGTGGAGAGACACTGGAATGCACCCCGTCACCCTCCCTTTCTTTGTAAAATCACTTTGAATAGAAATTTCTAAGTAAGAACGTACCTGCCATTAAGCACATTTCAGTAAGGTTATTCGCGATAATCGCCCAGATAAGATAACCTCAAACACAAGCTATGCGTACAAGTTATCAATAATGAAGACATTATGTGTCGGTTTGAAATGTGTTCAAATAAACATTCAACTTACTGACAGTTTTGCAATTTTGTAACAGGTTATTTTGCATCAGCAATTAGGTCGTTTTGGGAGCAACATGAAGTATGGTTTGTTTAAATATTTATATTGAGGTCTTTAGAACTGGGAATAACCCCGAGTACCGGGGCGTTAGGCAGGCGATCCTACAAATTGTCACGTACCAGCGCTGGGATGGAAACCATGACTTGCTTATATAGATCGTATAATGTACAGCGCACTCGATCAATCAGTTATTTATTATTTTTATAACTTTACTATGCAATAATTATGAACTGGGGACTTTAGGACTTATACAGTATTTGTCAGCAATGTTAATATACCAAATAAAATAAGAAGTGGTATCAGTTGTTCTAGAAAAAGCAAGCATTATCTTATCTCGACTACAAGACTTGCAACTATGTTTAGTTATTTGGGGCGACGTTGCCCGATAACTGTGAAGGGACCAGCAGCAATCACCTACCTAGCTGTTTAGATTTAAAAACACAATGTGAACTGAAAGCGGACATTGAATTATAGCGTAAAACATAGATATAATATCTTGTGATAATGAGTCACGGATGATAATATACATGTGATAATAATAACTTTGTATATGATGTCAACTATCGATCACAATCCAACCTTTATTATTAAATATGTAGCTCATTAATGTAAGCTGTGGCGAATGAACAAATCATTTTAATCACTGGTCCAGTCTAATAGACAATTATTCAACCTGACATCCAACAACTTTACAACAAATGGCAAAACACAAAGTACAGACTACCAAACCTCGCACGATATTCTATGTTGTTGAGGAAAGAGGGGGGGGGGCGGGTGGATGACCGAATGGTTAGCATGTGCGCGCTGTATCATAAGGCCTGTCATTAAGTCAACTGTCGTGGTTTCAAATCCCCGGTGTACGTGACAAGAAGTAGGGTTGCCTGTCCAACCTCGTCGGTTTTCTCCTGGTCCTCCGGTTTCCTCCCACTTCTAAAGACCCCTACGCGCAAACGAATTATTGAATTAAAATAAAACCATATGTTAGTCCCGAAATGACCTAGTATGTGTCGAGTGGACGTTAAACACCCCTCTCTCCCTCTCTCTCTCTCTCTCTCTGTGTGTTGAGGAAAGCTTTGATACGATCTACTGTCGCTTTAAAGACGAATTTTGGAGATGATTAAGAAAAGAAAGAATTGTGTATTTGGAATGATACGACTAGACCGGTACAGTGTGACAACAGCTCTTGAAAATTTTGCAAATTTTATCTATGAGACGAGTTTATCAGAGATAATTGATATAATGTGTCTTATTAGGATTGTATTACATACTTGACACGCTATAGACAATTGGGTGACTTTAACACGTAATTTGAAATAATGTCGCCGTTTTCAAACCATTGTAAAAATTTGTTTCGTGTTCCAGTATATTGTTTTGCATTGCTGTTGCCCAACATAGATGGTTTTAGGTGTTACTATAGATTATGTATGGCTCCTTTGGAAGATAATAAATTTTATAAATTAAATTTTCAATAAAGTCACTGAACGTAATTCCTTGTCTGTATAACTATAATCGTTTTCTATATTGAGAATGCTAACTAGGGACAGTTTGTGGAAATACTTACACATAGTCAAAGTAGAAAAGTTACCTTATTAGAAATATGTAGACTTAGTTTGAAGTAATGCTGGTATACCATTTTAAATGTGCTGTATCAATCTGATTAAAAGACATATCCTGTTTCGTTTCGTTTTTTATAGTTCAAAATTTCGTTTTACCCGTCTTCACTACACTAGGATCTGGAAGAGTGGTTATATTACCGGCGTTTTGGTGAAATGGGGGATTAGCCAATGAAACGGTCTGTTACGGTCTGAAACGTCAACGCCGATTGATTAATCAATGCTTGACGTCATAGGGTCAAAAGCCGCCCGTACGACCCCTGACACTACCTTCCAGTACAACTTGTCAGATCTCCATGTAGTGTAGGCCATCGAAAGTATTAAAAGGAACGAAACGAAATATTGGTTTTTTATTTTGATTAGATTGGGTGTTGTATTAAACGGCATGGCCAAAAGTACACCTTTTAAAAAATGGAAATGATGGTGTATTCGCTGAGGTGAAACCTATGCGCGTTTAACTGATAGGTGTCGAAACAATGGGCGTTAGTGGAAACCAAAGAGAATATTGAATTGTAACCGATCTTAAGAATAATTTGCTAACATTGGAGACTTTACATAATTTTGATGACGCTGTAGATGCAAAAGTGATTTTAATCGGTACTTTTAAATTGTCTCCACTCTTGTACGTAGGTCCGAGTGTGCGTCATAGTTTTTGTGATTATTTTTCAAACTTCCTGTGCTTGTTCAACTGTTCTTGCTTTAGTGAGTCAGAGAGCTTTCCAAATTTGCTCCCGGTGTTATCCGAGAAAGTTCCTCGGGATCTTCCGGTGTGGTTTATCCGTTTCAGTGGTGCAAGTTTCGAGTGCCTGGTAGGGATGAGCGTTTAGCCGTCTGGACGGGACGGAAAACCGAGGTCCCGTATACTTGTTTGCGTGCTCGTAAACGCAAACCCTGATGCTTGGAATTCGAAATAAGAATGGGCCATAGTTCCGCTGTCTGGTTAAAATCTCCTCATATCACACTGCATGGCGTATGCCCATCTTCATTAGCACAGTTGCTGCAGTAGGCCTATCATAGGTGTAGGAGCCAGATTCGGTGAACCGTACTTTTTTCGGGCAATGTATTTCCGTTTTCCGGGCACACCAGAGAATGAGACCATCACGGAAATATAATTGTATAATTGTGAAATGACAATGTTTCGGGCAAATAGCCTCAGCCCCGCTATAACCCCCCCCCCCTTAAACTGAGAATGGCCACCTACACCTATGTGTGTATAGTAGGACGTTAAACCACATTTCATTGCTAACTGGCCATGAAGAAAGTTTGAACGACATTGTTTTATATACCCATTCGAAGTATTGTTCATTGACCTTTTGGATATTCCCAGAATAAATACTCCAAAAGTCCAATTTAAAAACTACACTGTGAACTGAACCTTCCGCTATAAACCAATAAGGCCTTTGTACTTTGGATATTGCGTTGAGCGAAATATGTCAAGCACATTTGATCTTAATCAGTAGTCAAAATGTGAAGACCTGTGGACGAATTCGGCAAAATCAAGTAACATGTGGTATCTTACAGTATCCCAGTATTGCAAAGATATCCATTTTCTAATGCAAGAAAATCACAGGACATTTATACCCTTTACCACACTGTACAATGTTTTTAATCTGCATTTAGAAACAAACCCCAAACAGCAAAACTATGAATTACTGCCTTTAATCATGACAGTACTGATAACAGATTATAATTTGATCTGAATATGAATTCGTTTCCCGTAAATGTAAATCAATAAGTCAACATAAAGCCTCTAATCCCCTAATCCCTTGCAATCTACAACATTGTGGAAGTTAATATTGGTCCAAACATGGTTCAATTCCATTCAGTATTTATAAAGTTATGTTGAATTCAAAATGCGTCAACATTCAGCATTAACTGCAGACGATATGGGATGTGGTCAGCATCAACTGCAGACGATGTGGGATGTGGTCAGCATCAACTGCAGACGATGTGGAATGTGGTCAAAAACAGCTAGCATCACCCAAAACAGTCACTGTAATCTGTTTTATGAGATTACGTGAAAGCCAGGAGATGTTTTTGTATTATTTTCTTAATAAAATGTTAAAGAATCAATCTAAATATATTTTAACATTGACCGAAAAATGGAAATTGCAATCAGTGACTTGAGACTTTTGTTTACGATATATTTCTCTTCTTCTCATTATGTAAAGAGGTCGGTTAGCATGACCGGTCAAGTATGACTGCTAAAGTTCACTATACTTGTTCAGTGTCAGTTTAACAACACTGGGCAGAAAAATGTTGTAAAACTCGTATGTATGCTTATATGTCGTAAATATGTTAACCTATTATCCTTTGTATGAGATATTGTATATCTGTGCCGTAAGCTATAATATATTACAATATTGTAAATGTAACTGAGAATAGTCTGTATCATATCGTGCCGTGTTTGATAAGTCAGCGTAAGTAATATTATATAGATAAGAAAGATTTAGTATCTTATCTAGAAAAGATAAGTTATTATTGTCTCAATATATTAGCAAAATTGTAACAGACACGTGACATATTGTCGGGTGTTTCGACTGAAATATTCATCAATTTATGGAAATGAAGTTAAACGATTATGAAAACGTGTAGTAAACCTGTTATGACATGACCGACATATAACTAAAAGCGTTAAGAGAGCAGAGCGAGTCCTATATATGGTGACCCAAGGTTTAGGATTCTGTCTCTAACAATTTAGCTTTTAAATATTGATTTAATATGATGATGTTTAGTTATATCACCAGGTTGAATCAGTGTTTACAAAAATCTCTGTAAGAACAATTCGGCCGCTCATATGCTTTTATTATAGCCGAATCAGAAGTTATAGTACCAACAATTGACAACGCTTGTGCCTATGGCTGTCGAACCAACGCCAAACTGACATATTTCACTTAGTTAAAGTAAGCGGTACCGTACATTTCTTTTATGTACCTTTTATTAGTTATATTGTTAAAGCAATCGGCACTAATATTCTTCACCGGTCCTTAACAATCTTGCATCATGTGTCACTTTCCTGCAATTTTACTAATTTTATCATTTTTTTTTTTTTCATTTTTTTTATTTAGGTCGAGCAGCATGATGGTTTGTAGAAATCTAGTGTAATCTATTTATTAATACAGATTGGACGACAGACGGACATTGTCTATCATGGGTAGGAAAGCAAGCAAGAAAGAAATCAAAAGGCCAGTGGCTGACGATATAGCGAGTGATGAAGACCTTAGTAGATATATACCAACACCGCCTGATGGAGGATGGGGATGGGTTATTGTTTTTGCCTCTTTCATTAGCAATTTCATAGTTGATGGTATTTGCTACACGTTTGGTATTTTCTTACTCGAGTTTACCCGAGCGTTTAATGCACCAAGAAGTAAAATATCGCTTGTTGGTTCACTGCAAGCGGGCATGTATCTTTGTGCAGGTAAGTAACTTTAACACACATATCTCGACTAACACCGGAAGCGAACCCAATACCTCCTGGTTGGCAATCCAGCGTCCTACTTACTGAGTCTTCTTGACTCCCAGTATTAGATAACCACTCAAGGGATACACAAGAATGGTCTGTTATCACAGCTTGTCGCCATTTCACGATTCAATTATTATTGCTTTGCATACTGTCAGTCATACACTTTGTTTGAGGTGTCTTTAATTAAAACTTATTCTATATTTTATGAGTGTTAATTTTCGACAATGAAATGTTTTTCAGGGCCTATTGTAAGTGCTCTTACTAACAGGTTTGGATGTAGGCCTGTCACAATAGTTGGAAGTATTATAGCAACAATAGCATTTTTATTAGCCACTCTATCACCTTCCGTTGAGATACTTATTTGTACATATGGTCTTCTAGGAGGTAAGCACATATATATACAACATGCATTTGTATGTACATAGGCGCACGAGCTGGGGGGCGCCCGCCCCCCCATTTTTGGCACCAAATGCTGGGAAAATTTGGGCACACATTTGTACTTTGTAAAAGTTGTATAAAAAAATATTGTGTTCTTGAATGTGTCCAATTTAACAGCGAATTTATTATTATTATGTAACATACTAAGAACCTAACTACATTTTTTGGGCACCAGCCACAACCGCCCCCCCCCAGTCAAAAATTTCCCCGTACGCCTATGTGTATGTACACAACCGCGAAGATACAAGGGATACTACAATCTGACTAAAATACAGATCTATATTTCGTTTCGTTTTTTTATACTTTCGATGGCCTACACTACATGAAGATCTGACAAGTTATAGCGATAGGTCACGTCAGGGGTCAAAAGACCGATTTATGACCCTATGATGTCAGACATTTGATTAACCAATCAGCATTGATGTTACTAGTGGATTACCAACAGTTCAGTGCAAAACACGCCTGAAGCTCGCCGTGACAGACCTTTTCATTGGCTTATCCCTGACACCATTCAGAACACGGGTTAAATAACAACTCTTCCAGATCCAAGTGTAGTAAAGACAAGTAAAACGAAATTTTAAACTATAAAAACGAAACGAAATAGGATCTGTGTTTTAACCAGATTGGGGATACTACGATATTCTTTTTCTCGGGGGGGGGGGGGGATAACGGCTTGCAAAGGCATGAACCACCTTTCTACTACATATTTTGTGAGTTTTGTCATCTTGCCTGAACTTCCCACCAATTTTAACGTAGATTACTGACCCGTAATCAAGATCCCGGAAGTAACCCACGAAATTGAAATCATTTGTTGTTACCCATAATTCATCTCAAAGATTTGTTATATAACATTGTTGTATGATATTGTGAGGAGATATCAGTTTGAAATCAGCTATTCATCAAATAAACAGATTGCCATCAAATCAGATACTGTAGGTGCATCACATTTTAAACGATATTTATAGTTTTGGAATCTTCAGATAGTTGGATGACAATGGCAAAGATTTCTATGTTAAAATTATATTTGGAATCTGTTTAACCATTTCTAAAATTGATGTACAGCAACACTGTTCTTTATAAATTAGTAATCTTAACCTGTTACTTTTATACGCCCATATTGAAATAATAATATGGTCATATTGTCGTCACTCCCGTCTGTCCCGAGCTTGTGGTAGTTCTAGGTATAAAGTTATCACACGTTTAACTTGACATTTATGTGCCATGTTGATGTCCATGTGCCATTATAAAATTTTTGCCCCTTGGCTTAGTTTATTTGTTGGCCAGCAACATGGAGGACGTAGCTGCTTTGGGCGTATGTTTCGTTACCTGGGAACCTATCTTTAGTATCATTTGAATGATCCAGTTACCTACAACGCATTTAATGACAGTCAGGACGACAAAGGTTCGATGGGTTTATGTTTCGTCGCCTGACAACCAATCTGATTACAACACAGATCCTATTTCGTCTCGTTTTTATAGTTCAAAATTTCGTTTTACTTTAAGCAAAAACACGGTCAAATATTTTGCAATAGAAATTTGTGAAGGTATTTACCCTTTTTGGTTTGACATTTACTACAATAATGCAGTACTCTACAATTTTTATACGCCCACATTGAAATGTGGTCGTATGTTGTCGTTAACACTGTCGGTGATCGCCCGTAGTCCACCAGTACTAGAGGCTAAGTTAATATCCCATTTTCTCTTACTTTATAAACAGTGTTTAAGGTCATGAGACGTAGACTCCTATTGATTTTAAACGACTTCCGATAATTAGGCCAGAGTTATGGCCCTTGCTCGCTTTTGAAAATCTTGTGGGCGCTGTAGAGAATTGACTTAAAGTTTATACACAGCGTTTAAGGTCATGTGACGAAGAAGCTGACCACTCGACAACGACTTAGCTGCTGTGGGCGTATGTTTCGTTGCCAGGCAGCCTATATTTGATTGTGAATTGAGGGCCATCATTATTCACATTATATTGCAGCAATCATGTTATGGCTGTTTTAATTACATGAAATTATATTTTATAGGTTTTGGATTTGGAATGATGTATTTGCCGGCTATTGTTAGTGTTGGTTTTTATTTTGATCGAAAACGAGCAATGGCTACAGGCATCGCTGTATGTGGATCTGGTGTGGGCACCTTTGTGTTTGCACCGTTGTCCAAATTTCTTCTGGATATATATGATTGGAGCAATGCATTAATGTTGTTATCGGGAATAGTTTTAAATGGGTGTGTTTGTGGTATGTTAATGCGTCCTCTGAAAGTTACAAAAAAACAATTGAATACCACCAATTCGATACCAAATGGTACAAGTAAGGAGGAACGATTAAAAGCCCTATTTAAGAGCATCGAGACTAAAAAAGATGTCGGTGCGGTAGCGTATTCCTCAGTCCCAAATATAGTTATAACACGTGTTGATCAGACGACCGATAACACTGATCTGGATATTCAAAAAGAAGTACCAGAAATTTTGACCGTTGCCGAAGGCACTAGCTCTAAGAAATCAGAAGAGTCCCCATTGGTAACGGTTGCTTGTGTCAACGTTGAAGATAAGATAAGAGAAGAAAATCTAAGAAGACGAAATGTCGATCGAACTTTTATTTCTGATGCTAATATACATAAAATTAAAGACGAGTTAGCGAGGCCTATGTATAGAAAGGATATTTTCTATAGTGGAAGTATTATGAATATTCCCCAGTATAGTCGATCCCAACATGATATGAAAACTTATATTAAAAGTGTTACCAGTATTCCCGGAAACATGGTAGAGAGCGAGGTACCCGAGTCCCATTTTTTCTTATGCAAATGTCTCCCTCCATCGGCTCGAGACGCCATGGAACAAATGTTAAATGTCTCTATTTTGAAAAATGTGCCTTTCCTGTTAATTTGTTTCGGCAACATAATGGCGATGATTGGGTTTTATGTACCTTTTGTGTACGTTGTTGATCGTGCCATTGGACTTGGAATTGAGCCGCATAAGGCCTCGTTTTTACTTTCTATCATAGGTTAGTATAATATCATATTTACAGTATTTAAAGATGCCCTGTGTGTGTGTGAGAGAGAGAAATGGGATTTTACGTCCACTCGACACAAACTAGGTCATTTCGGGATTAACATATGGTTCAATTTTATTTCAAGAATTCGCTTACGCGCAGGGGTCTTTAGCTGTGGGAGGTAACCAGAGGACCTGGAGAAAACCCACGAGATTGGATAGGCGATTCTACTCCTTGTCACGCACAACCGGGGAATCGAAACCACGCCAGTTGACAGACCATTCGTCCAACCACCCTCCCACACAAACCGTGTAGTGTGATGATATATTCAAACTAATTTATCTATTAAAGGTTTGCTTTATTCCCTCTTAAAACATACATCCAAGCTGTAAAGTCTATTTAAGTATTTTAACCAATCTTGTGTTGTCACGTGACTTGTGGTCCATTTACCATAAATATCGAATTCTAAGTAAATTCTTGTATTACCCTCTGCCAACTTCTTTAATCGCAAAGTATGCAGTACGTTTAAGTCTCTCACTGCAAAACCTCTAGCCATTCGACCAACACATCTTACTTCATTCAAGCAGACTCGGTTAGTGAACCCATTCAAGTTTTGTCCTGTGTGCACTTCATGGGTGTTTTTCAGGGAATCCAGTATTTTTCTAGTAAGATTGCGGTGTCTCTACTATACCAAATATGCAATACTTTATTGTAAATAAATGCCCTAAAAGCACTTCCTTTACGTAATAAAAACAAATCAGGTATGGTAAAAATTCATTTTTTTTAACAGGTATAACTAACACAATCGGAAGAGTTTTAGCTGGTGTTTTATCTGATTTTACTAAAGGTCGAAGTTTATTAATCAACAATGTATTTATGCTGATGTGTGGTATTTCTACCCTGTTATGTCCATTCTGTGATACATATATTACATTATGTATTTTTACAGCAGTATTTGGTCTGTGTGTAGGTGAGTTCACAGTTTACAACATATATAGATATATAACAATAGAAACTATCAAGTGGGGAAGTAACAAGTGCATTCAAAAAGGATGTTTTGCATCTAAAAAGAAAAATTTGCTCACTTTCCAGTATTTCTTACATTAAACAAATGGTATTATAATAATGTCGAATACATCTGCAAACATTTAGTATGAACATAAAGGATACATGCTTAATTTATCCCTTAATTTCAATAAATGTGTTTACAGTATTTTTAGGGGTTATATTCTGTACAGCTAGAGAGAAACATAGGTTTTTTAATCTTAGAAAACCAAGTAGATATGACAATCTGATTAAAATACAGATCTATATTTCGTTTCGTTTTTTTTATATACTTTCGATGGCCTACACTACATGAAGATCTGACCGGTTGTAGTAATAGATCGCGTTAAAGGTCATACGAGTGGCTTTGACCTTATGACGTTAGACATTTGATCAACCAATCAGCATTGATGTTTCTAGTGGTGTTGTAACAACCAACAATCTAAATATTACTTCAGACTCGGGAATACTAGATTCCGGACTTTATCATAAATATTTATTCTGTAACGTAAATTATTTTAATTTCTTAATTTCAGGTGTATATATATCTTTGTCATCTATTATATTATGTGATTTACTGGGTTTAGAACAGTTAACCAGTGCTTTTGGATTATTAACATTAGCTCGTGGTTTGTCGTCTGCTGCAGGGCCGCCTATTGCAGGTATCTATTGATTGGTTTAACATGTTACCCCAAAAGCCAATTTCACCTCTTACTATATGTTAGTTTCAAATTGCTCGTAGTGTTTGTGTTTGAAGAGACTTTTCTATTTTGAATGTGACAACCTACTGCAATTCTTTTCAGTAACACCTACAAGTAAATATAATTCTACTGGACACACCTTGGTCATGCAAAATAAAATTACATCCAGTTTTGGTGAATAGTCTTGAAATGCTGAAGTTAAGCTAGCTTATCTACTACTCACAACACGCCTTTTTCTACCAAAACGCCTTATTTTACCAACACGACCTATTCTATTGATACATGATGCCAAACGAGATGTACAACCAAACTGTTGGAGATCCTAAACATGACGTACACCCAAACAATTGGAGATTTGTAATCTCGATAATGTATGTGAGTTAATCACATATTACTATGTTTTATTTTATATCTTATGTATCTTACAGGTGCTGTTTATGATCGTACCAAAAGCTTTGACCCATCGTTTTTCCTAGGAGGAGCTATGATAGTTGGTGGGGCCTTGTTTCATTTTATTCTAATGCTGCCTTTTATGAAGCGATTTACTCCTGATAATGATATGGCATTAGATCAAGTGAATGGTATAGGCAGCGACGAGGAAGAGTCTCGAAATCTTACATCTCCATAATTCCATTCTTTTTGTGCACTTTAACATGAAGCACACATAATATTATTTGCTCAACCATTATTATAGTGTTATTTACATTCTGCGAATTTACAAAAATTTCCATATATTGTGGATTCATCTCGGTTTGCCTGTTGTTGTCCACCGTCTTTCGAAAAAAAACCCCATAGAACTATTTTAAATGATTCGTTCGTCCGTCTGTTCGTCAGTCTGCCCTACTCTCAAAATTTTGGAACACGATAACCCTGCTTCTAAATGAGGTAGAATGTTGAAACTTGATGTAGATCTTCATGTCATGACTGATTTTGACGGTGACCATTTTCTGTTTAGGCTAATCAGGGATAAGCTATTTGATTTGTCGATATTTTGAAACATCATAACTTAGATTCTAACTGGGTGGAAAAGGCGAAGCTTTCATCGTTGCATAAATACCATGCCTAAGTTTTTGTTCATGAACATTTTGAGACTTGGAACACCAACAAGGTTTTGAAACATCAATACCATTTTTTATCCCGAGGTTAAACAGAGTAACAGTAAACCAATGCCTTCTAAAAAGATAAATGTACAATTAATGAGTTTCATCTACATGTATTTATTTTGGGTTTAAAAGTGGCAACGTCAAGCTCACTGTTGTCGTGTTTAAATTTAACAAAAATAACTTACGCATTAAACATTATTTTTCAAAGTTAGCGGGTCAAAAATATTTTCCTTATTTATATTTAACAAAAAGAAAGAACGAAAAGTGACTTGGGCGACATAAACCAGGCCAAGATGCCATATTGAGCTCGATGTTCACGGACTGATATGAGTTAGCATGCAGCACTCCACTGCCGTGACAAGGACGATAACAATGACTTGAAATCAGTAGAAAGTAATGTGAACTTTACACGGCAATAACTTAGGTTAGGATTCGTCATTTTTAAAAGTAAAACTATTCTTTATTGTGCATTTCCCGAAATCCTATAATTGCCTCCGAGTCTGGAATATTGCGACTTTCAAGTATCGTGGGACTTTATAGGCACCTGTTTTTTGGTGGGTGTATGTTACGTTGACTGACAACTTGTTATTAAGATTAAGCTCATGAATTTTATTTAATATTTAAACGTATTCAAATTAATGTAAGCTCACCTGGCTTTATTTTATCAAGACCCAAATTTTATCATGACATTAAAAGTAGTTTTTGCACCGATCGTGTAAATCAGTATTATTGGCTATATGCAGTAACATGTTATTAAATGCTAAACTGTTTAAGTATGTAAGGACTATATGAGACTGTACTGTTTCTTTTGTACATTGTAATGATTCTATATTTTTATGGATATTTATAAAAACTGTAAAATAGAAATTGAATATCTATCTTATGTTTTATTATTTTCTGTTTATTGTTATAATTTTTAAGGTTTCAGGACATGATATCTGTTAAATGCCGGTCTCAAGGGAATTTATTTGATGTGATAAAATTGATGACAATTAATTAAAACTTTCTACTTCTCTTCATATTTTAACACAAAGAGATTTTATATATAAGAAGATATTTGTATATAATAACATTGACCCTGTATAATGAAGAGTATGTTGCCATTGTCTTCTATCATATTCTAATAAAAGTCTATATTATATGTATCTGTATTACTGCGACAAAAGATATCGTGCAAAATGGTAGCACATGCTGGAAATACAGAATTACTTATTGCTTTTACATGAATTTAGTAACATGATCAGACTGTGTGTCATTTTAAAACCTGATACTTAAAAAGACAACAGCTTATCCTCTCGGAAACGTTGATATCGACCAAACTGCTTGCAAACAATCGCATCTCAGTCGTGTTCACAAGCTTGAAAACAGACCGTTAAAAACTGTAGCCTTAGAATTTTGACAGTTCCATCGTATCAATAATCATTATCATGTCGTTTGGTGTCGCCACTACATGCGCAACGATTTCGAGTTCTTCTTTGGACGATGTGACAAAATTGTAAAGCCCAGTCTGCTGAATAAAATCACATTATTTACTTTGCCCTGGGCGTATAAATGTAGGGAGTAAAAGCTTTTATTAGAATTTTAATGTATCGGTCGCTTTTCAAGACCGTTTCCTACCATTTTTGGACCTCCAAACGGCAGGCTTTATATTATAAATCAAACGGTAGACTTTATATTTTAAATCAAACTAAAGGGGTTTTAGCGTCGTGTTTTGCCACCAGAGTAATGAGAACGGCCATACAGTGTACTATGGGTGAAATTCTACCCGTACTACACCGTTTCCACAAACTGTTCATTCATCTGTCTGGTTAAACTAACTACCGACTAAACTTTTTTCACTGTTCATGGGACTTCTACATAAATTTTCATTTGGCATTACCCATACGGAACCTAACTGATACATATATATTTTATGAATTTCAAACCAAAATAAAAAAAAAGTACTACACTGAATAAGAAATAATATGTATTGACACTATAACGCATTTCTTCGACATTTACCTTTACCGCTAAAAAGAAGCAATCCCACAGAATGACACCGATTTTAATGGTAAACGCTCTGCTGCACCATTTAACCAACGAAATCACAGAATGACATCTCGACAATAATGGTAAACTCTCCACTGCATTAGTTAACCGACGAATCCACAGCATTAATGGACCGACTGGGCTAATTAAGACGGGGATACGTCATCACCATACAGTGTTCTATGAGGGAAATTCAACTTGGATAGCGCTAATGAAGACCGTCATACGCCATACAGTGTACGCTATGAGGCAAATTCTACCCGGACAGCGGTGCTACGGCCTACTTATTTCAAATTTCAACTGACAAGGGTTCTTTTACGCGCTTGCCAACGTATACGGAGGCCCCCGATTTTATGTCATAAAACCTACCTGACATATGTACATCTGGATTTCCTTTTTGCGCCATTTATAACTTGCTCTTTCCGGTAGTGGACTTAACAAGTCTACCGGAAGTTAAAAACGTGTGTACTACGTCATCATAATGTGACTTTCTGCACACGTAATATAATATGTCAGTTTCCTTTCTCGGCGCGTGGAAATCGCCCATGTTTTTTGTGTGAACTTTAGTTTGTTTTCGGTAAATCCTTCTAGCATTTCTGCCTCTCGAAGGAAATTTGGAAGTGTTTCCCATTGATGAGGAAACAAGAACATTTTTACAAGTTCCATCAATGGATGATATGATAGAAGCCTGCTTAATTCAAAAGCATGGTCCGAATACATCTTTTGCTAAATCTGGTCGCTCATTATATAAACAACCTTACAGAGCGGTAGAGAAAGTGGCATATAGGGGACAGCAGGCAGCTTTTATGGATATCAGTATTCACCTTTATATCCAGCAGGCTTTGGGTGAACTCATGCAGCAATTTTTGGAAAGTCAGGATCTGAACTCTATAAAAGAGAAATTAGTACAGCAAATACAGAATTTTTTTGCTATGTCAGCAAAATATTTTTAGATCAGATAGGTAGAGTGGGGGCTTTCCACCATATTATGAGACGTTCGGTAGCCATGACTAACACGTCTCTTTTAGAAGTTGAAAATTCAAAGATTGTATCTATTTTGCCTCTTACAGGAGATGGTGTGTTCGGAGAAAAAGGACCAAAAGAAAGCCGTTCAAGACCTGTTACCCGATGTTCATCGTCGAGAGCGAAAGCGTAAGGGGCGTTCGTTAGTGAGTCTTTCCCAGCTAAACGGAGCGCATCTTTCCACCCATCTACTAGTAGGAAAATGCAATTTAATACAGGGTCTTTTCGCGCCCCAGCACAGAAGTTTACAAGTAGGCCTTTTGAAAGAAAGGGATCATATCCTAACAAAGGCTACCATAATACCCGCAAACCTTCCTTTACGGTCGGCTCTCATAGAAAAGGCACAACATAACAATGACGAGGTGAGTGTTTTAATGAGGTGCCCAGAAGTACCTGTTGGGGGCCGTCTTTCTCATTTTCTGGAACAATGGCAAGAGATAACTACAGACAAGTGGGTTTTATCAACCATAAAAGAGGGTTACAAACTGGAATTCCTTCAGTTACCTCCTTTCTTAGGAGTAAAGCACACTATTATGGGTGTGGACAATTTAAAACTTATAAAACAAGAAATTTCTTCTCTTTTGCAAAAGAATGCCATAGAGATTGTTCCAGAGAGGGAGAAAATGTAGGTTTTTACAGTACACTTTTCTTGGTTCCCACAAAGAACAGGGAGCTGAGACCGGTCATCAACCTACGTCTCTTGAACAGGTATCTCAAGAAAACTCATTTCAAAATGGATACTCTACGGAAAGTTTTGAATTTAGTCGAATCAAACGATTGGGCAATCTCAATCGATTTAAAAGATGCATACCTCCATATTCCTATTTTCCCAGACCACCGGAAATATCTTCGTTTTTGTGTAGAAACAAGGTGTATTAATTCAAAGTGTTATGTTTCGGCCCAACATCGGCACCTCGTGTCTTTACAAAACTTCTGTCGGTTGTAGCCGAAAATCTTCGCATTCAAAATATCAGAATGGCGTTTTACTTTGACGACCTTCTATTGATAGACAGTCAGAGGGAGAATCTTTTAATAAATCGAGAAAAGATTGTAGATCATCTGATTCGACTAGGTTTTATAATCAATCTAAAAAAGTCACAACTGGCACCATCCCAACAAATCGTTTATATAGGCGCCCTGTTTCGTCTAGACCAGGGCTTAGTTTATCCCACGTCAGAGAGGGTGAAAAATCTGTTTTTATCTGTTCAAAGTCTACTCAAAGATCAATGCACAGCAAGGCATTATCTACGTCTCTTGGGAATAATAGCGTCTTGTTTAGAGTTAATTCCAAATTCAAGACTAGCAATGAGACCTATTCAATTTCACCTTTTAGGTGTTTGGAAACCGGCAACAATGAGTTTAAATTTGAAGGTGCCTGTTTCCTCAAGTCTAAGATCACATCTGCAGTGGTGGTTACAGGAAGCAAACATTTTGAAGGGTCGCTCATTATGTCACATTCACCCTTCAATAACGATAACCACAGATGCCTCATTGAACGGCTGGGGAGGTCATGTCAACCATCTCTTTGTTCAAGGAGTTTGGTCGAAAACTCTGAGAACACGGCATATCAATTTTCTGGAATTGAAAGCAGTATACTTAACAATCAAACATTTTGTTCCAGTTCTTGTGAACAGAGATATACTAGTTCGTTCAGACAACACTACAGTGGTGCAATATCTAAACAAACAAGGGGGAACAAAATCTGCACAACTCTGTCAGGAAATGATGGAAGTGTGGAATTTAGTGTTCAAGACCAACATGGCTATACAGGCAGCTCATATAGCGGGGGTAAACAATACTTTAGCAAAATTCTATCAACAGAATGGTCACTGAATCAAGAATTAGTCAACATCATTTTTCGGAGGTGGGGATATCCGACCATAGATTTATTCGCGACTGCCTAAAATCGCAAGACTCTGATCTTTTGTTCGTGGATCCAGCATCCTCTGGCCCATGCAATAGATTCTCTGTCCATTCCGTGGACAAACATGTTCGGGTATGCTTACCCACCAATAAGTTTGATTCCGTTAGTGTTACGACACATTCAAAATTGTCAGTGATAGCAACGTGTTGGCCACGACAACCTTGGTATCCTATGGTGGCTGATTGGTATCATGTCGTAATGTCGTGATGTCGCCTTTCATAACGCGACAACCCGACAACCCGACATCACGACATTTCCACCCGACCTCACGACAACCCGACACCACGACATTTTTACCCGACATCACGACATTTTTACCCGACATTACGACACTAAAAATGTCGTGGTGTCGGGTTGTCGGGTTGTCGTGATGTCGGGTTGTCGGGTTGTCGTGATGTCGGGTTGTCGGGTTGTCTTGATGTCGGGTTGTCGCGTTATATCTTGACCATGTTGTACACCTCTATATTCGTTTAAAAAACAACTTAAAACACATTTATTTAATCAGGCTTTTAACTGACTCTGTATACAATCGTTAACATGTTCATAATCTTGTTTATTTATGATTTTCCTAAGGCTAAGCTGAGATAAGCAATTTGATTGGTCGATGTTTTGGGACACAATAACCTTGATTCTAGCTAATTCTGAGTTTGATCATGAGAGAGAGAGAGAGAGAGAGAGAGAGAGAGAGAGAGAGAGTTGAGGTTTAACGTCCACTCGACACAAACAAGGTCATTTCGGGACTAACATATGGTTCAATTTTATTTCAATAATTCGCTTGCGCGTAGGGTTCTTCAGCAGTGGGAGGAAATCGGAGGACCCGGAGAAAACCCACGAGGTTAGACAGACGACCCTACTCTTTGTCATGTACAAGCTTGGGCTGGAAACCACACCACTTGACTCAATGACAGACACACAGACAAGGGCGGCTTCATAATATGTTCACATTATGAAATGAAATGGGGTTTAACGTCCCACTGTTCTGCTCCGACTGAGCTAATGAAGACGGTTCACATTATGAATGTGGACGTATACAAATGAATACGAATGCAACTCAAACTGCACTATGAGTGTCATAGGCGTACGTGGCCGAACTAGTTTGGGGGGGGGGGCAGCATATTTTCCCGCGAGCGACGGAGGCGCTAAGACGCCGTAGACGCGATTTCCAG